GCTTCCGTCGCCAGCTATTCACCATATAAATAGGGCTATTGAAAAGAAACGAAAAAGTGAGAAAAGCTTTATAGCATCACTAACAAGAGAACAAATGACAACAAATTGAAAGATCTAATAGTTTTTTTTAATAAATATATATTTCTTAACAGCTATACCTTTTGAAATTACCGAATGGTTCTTCCTACCTATTGAGCTTTGAACGATTGAAAAATAAATCTCGGAAAGGTGTCCTAGAATCCGTTGGCATCGGCTTAATACCAACTAGCTTTTTTATGGTTGGATGTCGGAGGATCTGTGATTGAAGCATACCGGTTGTGGAGACGACTAGCCAATATAGAGGTATAACCTTAAATAATAAACACAAATATATTAATATTATGGAAAATAACGAAGAATCAACAACAAATGACTCACTGCAGGGAGATTCGACATAATTACAACTGCAAATAGAGTGAACGAAGCCAGGAAGACATCGTATGTCTTCGTGCGGAAATTCTTTTGAACAACAGGATAGATTTTTCTTTGCGACTGTAAAGGTAATTCTGTACATGACACATAACATACAAATACATCCCATCATTGAATACAATGAACTGTCAAATATATAACTTTAATGAGAAAGTAACTGCTTACGTAAATATTCAGAAAACCAAAGGCTCCGACTGCGATAGGGATGATGAAGTAGGGATCAGGAACAAGGAGATCAGGCACCCATAAAGCACCCGGTATGCTGGGATGGAAATCAGCTATGATATATGCAATCAACTTTGGATTCATTAGTCACTCCTCCTACCGCTAATTACATTCCTCAACGCGAAAGAAGAGAATATCCAAACTGGAACTGTGCAAATTTTGAGATTTTGGATACGCGACGCTTGAAGGTTGTGTTCAGATAACAACATAGGTACATGCTCAGATAACTGAAAGAAGTGGATGTTATTCCGATTAGTTAAGAGAGTACCGCTTTATTAGCCACAGAAGTGATCTTAGCATTATCTGTTTTCAACTCAAGTTGTCTTGTTTTAGCATTCTGGACTATTTCAACCTTATACTGTTCGCCCACTTTCTGGAAGACAATAGATATTTCAATTAGTAGAGATGTTCAACCAAGTTGTAGGACACATCAAATGCTGAATCTTAATGCCTTCTCACAACTACTATTTACCTTCAGCAATCCATGAGTAAAAAGACTTTGAGCGTGTGTTCTGCTTGCTAATAACTTTTCAGAATAAATATGAAGAGGAGCTGTGAGAAGCCTCAGAGCAAGACCTGTAGCAATGAAAGTGGATGCCCAAGGTAACCCTGATCCATGTATGGCTAAAAGAAAAGGTTACTACGAACAGCTAACTCTTTGTATAAACCCATCATTCCTGCTTCAATGCCTTGTGTCAAGTTACAATCGGAAGCATATTGGAAAAACGGAGTTAGGGCCGCAGGTAATTGACTGATGTTTCTTCTGGAGTTTGTGAGCTGAAGTCGTACGAGTCAGAAAGATTTACCAGTATTACTTAACTGGAATAAATCTAGAATGCTGTTGTTGTGTTCCAATTACATAAGAGCACGATGGTAGCATCGTGGTTAGCCTCCGAGAATGGCCAGATAGAATCATCTGATGTTAGTGATATTATACAGTGTAAATGGTTTTGCGTAAGTATTTTCAAGAACACTATCTTATACTGTGGAAAACACAAATTTCAGCAGATTTATCGAAGATATGCATAGAAATAAATATGTTGTACAAATACTTAAGCTGAGGTCTATCGAAAACACATTTACCCAACAGGATTAAGAACCTA